TAACCTTTTTGTTTACTATATTGCTGACTATATAGTTAGGATAAATTATTGTTTACTTTTTAAATCGAAATCGCAATAGTTAAATTCCTTACGCTTCCCATCCACATGAATACTGAAAAAATTTGCATTTAATAGCAAGACGTTTTATTGAAGGTTGAAATGAACATAATGCATCAAAGGACAGTGATGCAATGAATAACAGATGCTGTCAGTTGATGGAAGCACTTTAGTTTGGAGAGCCGTCCAGAGTCAAACACACACGTACAGTCAACAGCAAGCTGCCAAAACAATAAAACTTAATAGACTGCTGTTACAGTTACCCATCCTGGCACAAATGCATTGATCGAAATTACCTGCCAAACAAATAAAACATGTAAAAGTTTCCCGAGATGGACCCACCTGGCAAGCAGATGGACAGCTCGTTGTAGCCCCCAAACGAGGCGTTGCGTATGAGTTTGCGTCCGTCGGGATGAGCCGGGCGGCCCGAGATGGTTCCTCCACAGGTGGAGAACCGGCGGCGGCCCAGGATCCCGTCTTGCTTCATCATGAGGGCGGCCTCACCCTGAAGAGGGCGAGGCTGAGGGGCTGCGGCGGTAATTCGGCGGTCACCACACACACACACATTCAGCTCTGCTCTACACACATACTCCACTGCTGCTAGTACTACAGCTGACCGAGCGCTCTGAAGATGCACTCACGCTCGCTCTCTGTTACTCACTGCAGCTCCTCCCTCTTGCTCTACAGCCGCTCTGTGTGTGTGTGTGAGAAAGAGAGAGAGAGAGAGAGAGAAAGAGCCGCGGCTCACATTCACTGACCACCAGAAGAACAAAAAAAAGCTTTGAGCTGCGACGTCACTAGACACATGTAACTCATGTTGTTGTTATTTTTTCCAGTTTTATTCTGATCTGATTGCATGATGTTTGTGGTGAATCTGACAAAAAAAATGTGCCTGGCTTATCATTCATCTCAAAAAGTAAAAAAATTATTTCAGTTTTATTACTTTGAATATATATATATATATATATATATATATATATATATATATATATATATATATATATAAT